CAGGGTAGTAGACATAGTCTATATGGATTTCAGTAAGGCCTTTGATAAGGCTCCACATGGTAGGCTGCTCTGGAAGGTTAGATTGCATGGATTCCAGGGAGAGTAAATTGGATTCGCAATTGGCTTGATGGTAAGAAGCAGAAAGTAATAGCGGAAGAATGCTTATCAGACTGGAGGTCTATGACTAGTAGTGTGCCTCAGGGGTCGGTGCTGAGCCCACTGCTCTTCTATATCAATGATTTGGATGAGAATGTACAAGGCATGATTAGTAAGTTTGTGAATGACACTAAAATAGGTGGTATCATGGACAGTGAGGAAGATTATCAGAAATTGCGCGGGATCTTGATCAGCTGGGGAAGTGGGCTGAGAAATGGCAAATGGACAATATAGACAATATAGACAAGTGCGAGATGTTGCATTTTGGGAAAGCAAATCAAGGTAGGAGTTTCATGGTGATTGGTAGGGCCTTAAGGAGTGTAGTGGAGCAAAGGGACCATGGAGTGCAAGTGCATGGTTCTCTGAAAGTGGAGTCACAAGTAATCAGGGCAGTGAAGAAGGTGTTTGACACACTGGCCTTGATCAGTTGGGGTGTTGAGTATAGAAGTTGGGAAGTTATGTTGGAGTTGTACAGGACATTGGTGAGGTCACACTTGGAGTATTGTGTTCATTTTTGGTCACCTTGCTATAGGAAGGATGTTATTAAACTGGAAAGAGTGCGGAAGAAATTTACAAGGATGTTGCCAGGACTCAAGGGACTGAGTTATAGGGAGAGGTTAGACAAGCTAGGACATTTTTCTTTCGAGCGTGAAAGACTGAGGGGGAATCTTATATAAGTTTATAAGATCATGAGAGACGTGGATAGGGTGAATGCACTCAGCCTTGTTCCCAGGGTTGGGGAATTGAGGACTAGAGGGCATCAGTTTAGGGTAAGAGGGGAAAGAATACATGGGAACCTGAGGGGCAACTTTTTTACACAGAAAGTATTATGCATATGGAATGAGCTGCCAGTGGAAGTGGTTGAAGTGGGTACTTTAACACATTTAAAAGGCATTTGGATGAATAC